AACTACCTTTGTGTTTTTAAGTGTGGAAGCTTCCAAATTTGTTTAATTTTCAAATCAAAAAATAAGCAATATTTGTATGAGAAGTCTATTAAGGCATACTACTAAATTATAGTGGTTAGGTAAAAATTTACCAAATGTCCATGGAATATGCTGGATGGGAGTGAACATTTGAAATGTCATTCCAAACTACGTAGACCTTGAAGTAGGCAGTTGAGTCTTTTTTTTTTTTTTTTCTTCTTTGGTAAACTTCAGTGGAAGCACTAAAGACTTCAGAGTTTAATACATACTGTGGATAAATGTCTGTTGATACAGAAAGTTGTTAATGCATTAGTAAATGAAAAACACATAACAGGCATGTGTTGCTTTACAATTGGGATACTTTGGGGTAAATGCATTGTTAGGCAATTTTGTCACTGTGCAAACATCACAGTGTATTTAACAAAAAACCTGGATGGAATGTAAGTCAATCATACACCCAGGCCATATGGTAATGCCTACTGCTCCAGGGTTCTGAACCTGGATAGCATGTTACTGTACTGAATACTGTAGGTAATTGTAACACATGTATTTGGTATTTGTGTATAAAACATAATTAAACATGGAAAAGGTATAGGAAAAGTACTAGGAAAGAGGAATTTTTCAATTCCATTTTAATACTAATGTAGGATCACTGTTCATAATTTAGGATCATTGTTACTTGGTTCATCACTGACCAAAATGCATACAGACTGTATTAGACCATGCATAGAATTTTTCATCTATCTATGTATACACAAAACTTGAAAGCAAAGCATGAAAACTTGAAAGCATAAGTTTTTATATGATCAATTTTTAAAAATAAAGATTTATTTATTTGAAAGAGAGGCAGAGGCAGAGAGAGAAAGAGAGAGATCTTCCATCTGCTGGTTCACTCTCCAAATGGCTGCAATGGCCGAAGCTGGGCTTATCCAAAGTCAGGAGCCAGGAGCTTCTTCCGGGTCTCCCACACAAATGCAGGGACCCAAGGACTTGGCCATCTTCCACTGCTTTCTCAGGCCATAGTAGAGAGCTGGATCGGAAGTGGAACAGCTGGGATTTGAACTGGTGCTGGGATGCCAGTACTGCTGGCCGGAGCTTTAACCCACTTTGTCACAGTGCCAACCCTGAACATTTTTTCCTATGTTGAATTATAAGAGTTTTGGGCCGGCGCCGCGGCTCAATAGGCTGATCCTCTGCCTGCAGTGCGGGCACTCTGGGTTCTAGTCCTGGTTGGGGCACCGGATTCTGTCCTGGTTGCTCCTCTTCCAGTCCAGCTCTCTGCTGTGGCCCAGGAGGGCAGTGGAGGATGGCCCAAGTGCTTGGGCCTTGCACCCGCATGGGAGACCAGAAGCACTTGGCTCCTGGCTTCGGATCAGCGCGGTGCGCCGGCCGCAGCGGCCATTTAGGGGGTGAACCAACAGTAAAGGAAGACCTTTCTCTCTGTCTCTCTCTCACTGTCTACTCTGCCTGTCAAAAAAAGAAAAAGAATTGTAAGAATTCTTTAGATATTCCAGACATAAAATCCTTATCAGATTTATGATTTGCAGAAATTTTTTCTCATCCCATGATCACCTTTTCACTTTCTTGATGGTATTCTTTGAAGCACAAAAGTTTTCAATTTTAATAAACTCTAGTTATTAATTTTCCTTTGTTGGTTGTGCTTTTGGTTTCATATCTAAGAAACCACTGTATAATGCCAAGTCATGAAGATTGACAACTATGTTTCTTTTTGATAGTTAGAACTCATACATTTAGATTAGTGTTCCTTATTGAGTTAATTTTTATATAGGTGTGAAATAGGGATCCAGCTTCATATCTGGATGTTTAGTTGGACTTGCAAGATTTGTTGAAAAGATTATTTTTCTTCCCATTAAATTATCTTGGCATCTTTGTTGAAAGTCAATTTACTGGCCGGCATGGGCCCTTTACTTGCTATTTTTAAGTCACAAGTGTGTCCTCTAAGTTCTTAATTCTTTTTCAAGATACACTATTGTGTGTTCCTTGTATTTCCATATGAATTTTAGGATCTGCATGTCAGTTTCTGTAAAGACACCAGCTAGGATTTTGATGTGATTGCACTGAGTCTGAAAATCATTTTCAGGGTATTGCCATCTTAACAATATTGACTGTTATAATTAGTTAATATATTTCCATTTGGCTAGTTTTTTCTGTACTTTCAACAACATCACAGTTATCAGATAAATTTTGCACTTGTTTTAAAAGATATATCACTGCTTTTCTTGTTCTCTTTAGATAATTATAAATTGAATTCTCTCACCTTCAGATTGTCCATTGATAGTTTTTTTTTTTTTTAACAGGCATACCTATTCATTACTAGATTTCTGTACATGTATTGAACTTGTACACTGCAATTTGTCTGGACTCATTCATTAGATCTACTAGTTTTTATGTGTATTCCTGAAGGTTTTCTATGTACAAGATCATGTTATCTGCAAATAGAGAAAGTTTTACTTTTTTCTTTTTTGGCTACTTTTTAAAAAAATTATTATTTTTTTATTTTAAAAATTTTTATTTATTTATTTGAAAGAGTTACACAGAGAGAGAAGGAGAGGCAGAGAGAGAGGTCTTCCGTCCACTGGTTCACTCTCCAATTGGCCGCAAACGGCCAGAGCTGTGCCGATCCAAAACCAGGAACCTGGAGTTTCTTCAGGTCTCCCCGCAGGTGCAGGGGCTCAAGGACCTGGGCCATCCTTTACTGCTTTCCCAAGCCATAGCAAAAAACTGGATCAGAAGTGGGGCAGCTGGGACTTGAACCAGCGCCTATATGGGATGCTGGCACTGCAGGTGGCGCCTTTACCCACTATGCCACAGCGCTGGCCCCTTGGCTACTTTTAATTTTGCTTGGTAGACTAATTGCTCTAACCAGAATCTCAAGTACAATATTGAATAGAATTAGAAAGAGCATATCATCTTAAGACTATTCTTATGCTGATTAAAATAACACTTTATTAATTAATCCCCATTGTTTAAATACATTTGTTGTCATTGGCTGGGAGTTTAGAAGGGGTTTAGGCTGAAGAGGCACCAGGACCAGGTTTCAGATCTCAGCCCTGGAATGGCAATTTTTTTCATGTTTTTCCAATCATTCTTGAGGAGGTTGGAGCTCTTAACTCCCCAGAGCATTGATCTAACAGCTGGCGACGGAAAGGTCCGCACGTAATTTGTGTGCACCTTTCCAAAGGCCACGTTAGTGAGTCCTGAAGGCCCTTTTCCAAACACAGTTTGTAAGCCCAGCGTGCACTGTCAAAAGGCAGCCAGTTTCCATGTAGTTACATATCATGAATTTGACATTTTAGAATCTGCTTTGAGATCAGTAGGGCAAGTCACACCAATAGTTAAGAAAATGACCCTTTAATCTGACTCCTGGGAATTTATCTAGAAGAAAAGACTAAAGAAAAAAAAAGTGTTAAGGTCTTTATGAATAGCAGTGATGAGGAAAATCCAAGACTAGTTTTCATAAATGTCCAGCAGTCCTGCTGTGATAAAGCATGTTTTTATGTATCAAACATGGATACATGAAGTCTAATACAGTGACTAGAAATGATTAGAGCACATCACTGAAAACTCTTTATAAAATATCGCTAAGTGGAAAAAGAACACAAAACTGTATGTATACAGATTACAGTGATGTTACAATTCTGAATGTATAGAAATAGTTTGGTAAGGGAACAAGAAGAAATTAAAATAGTGTTGAGGGGCCGGCGCTGTGGCACAGTGGGTTAAAGCCCTGGCCTGAAGTGCTGGCATCCTATATGGGCACCGGTTCAAGTCCCAGCTGCTCCACTTCCGATCCAGCTCTCTGCTGTGGCCTGGGAAAGCAGTAGAAGATGGCCCAAGTCCTTGGGCCTCTGCACCCACATGGGAGACCCGGAAGAAGCTCCTGGCTCCTGGCTTCGGATTGGTGCAGCTTCGACCGTTGTGGCACATGGGGAGTGAACCAGCAGATAGAAGACCTCTCTCTCTCTGTCTCTACCTCTCTCTGTAACTGTCTTTCAAACAAATAAATCTTAAATTAAAAAAAAATGTTGGACAAGAATGACATAAAGTTGTTAGTATGCTAAAATTGTTTAGCATAAACTCTTCTAGAGTGTTAATTAATAATAAAAATGTAATATTACAGTATTAATCTGGCCAAAAATTTAATTGTACTCATCTTATGAGCAATACCTATTTTAGAGGATTAGGAAAAAAATATCTCTTTATATAACATATGACAGCCCCAGGCACTTAAACTGAGCCACTTCAAAATAATGACTATTTAAAATTCTTATTAAAAATAAGAAACTAGGGACCGGCGCTGTGGCGCAGTGGGTTAAAGCCCTGGCCTGAAGTGCTGGCATCCTATATGGGCACCGGTTCAAGTCCCGGCTGCTCCTCTTCCGATCCAGCTCTCTGCTATGGCCTGGGAAAGCAGTAGAAGATGGCCCAAGTCCTTGAGTCCCTGCACCTGCGTGGGAGACCCAGAAGCTCTTGGCTCCTGGCTTCGTCAGCTCAGCTCTGGCCATGACGGTCATTTGGGGAGTGAACCAACAGAATGGAAGACCTCTCTCTCTCTGACTCTACCTTTCTCTCTGTAACTCTGTTTTTGAAATAAATAAAATATTTTTTTTAAAAAAAGAAAATGATTTCAGCTATTCTATATTTTTGTGATAGAAAAACAACAAAAAATAGAAATACATAAAAAAGAAACATTATTCTGCCACACAAAGACAACTACTGTTTAAATATTGGTCTATAGATTTGCATATTTTTGTCTATACATTTATATCTATATGTTCTACATAGTGGAAGAGTTGTAATAGATTTGGATTATTTTGTAATCTGTTTTTATGAGAAAATCTAATGACGCTTACTTCCTTATGGGTGTGATATCCAGAAGTCCCTTTTAGGCAGCCAGTTCCTTGGGATCTAGAATGGGATAAAACAAATGCACTTACTGATTTTTCCCTCTTTTGCTGTAGAAATTGGTGTGTTAGCCAAGACTTTCATTGATCAAGGGAAGCTCATTCCAGATGATGTCATGACTCGGCTGGCCCTTCATGAGCTGAAAAATCTCACCGAGCACAGCTGGCTGTTGGATGGTAAGTGGAGGAGCCCTGGGCACTCAGCTGCCCCCAGATGGTGAACTCTGCTGGAGAATGAGCAGTTCATGTGCTGTGGACGGACATCAAGGTTGGCAGTTGGGGGCCTGAATTCTGCCCTTCACTGCCCAGAGGCCTTGGAACCGTCACATTCTCTGGGCCTCTGTCTTTGTTGGGATAAAAAAGGAGAGTGGAGCAAGTGATTTCTAAGCTCCCTTCAGATGTAATTTTAGTTCCTTCCTCCCTCCTTGGGGAATATTTTATGATGAGGGAGGATCTCCAGAAAAGAAGGAAGGCCCAGGAGTAACTTGCAATAATAAGCTGTAAATTTTCCCCAGCCAGAGGTGTGGCAGGATCTTTCAGCATAGCTTGATTTTTTTTTTTTTTTAGTTTCTAATCATTGCTTTGTTGATACCAAGAGGCACAGGAGATTTGTTTTTTAACAAGTAAAGCCTTTCCTTTGAGACTGAAGTCTTAACTTCCTGTTTTGGGAGGGGGTAAGCTAATCTAGCCTTGCTATTTATATATTCTTCTCTCCCACTTAACTCCATTCCCCTTCACACGCGCCTGAACTGAGTGCTGCCCTCACACAGCCTGGCAGCCCTGTTGCTGGCTTTACCCAAGAAGGCATGGGATTTTTAAGGTTCCAAGTGGATTAGGCTGTATGAGGAAGGTGAAGGGAAGGACAAACGGGGGAGAGGTTGGGCAGAAAACACTTACTCTGGTTTGTTGGAGTTGGATCAGAAAGAAAAAAAAATTAGTTTTTCCTATGGTCCACTGACCATGCCTGCCAGTGTTTGCACAGAACCTGGAGGTCTCAGAAATTCCTGAAACATTTAATGATGGCTTCTGGGGCATGGAGACTATGCTATGAGGTATGCTATGAGGTACCGTGCTTATCAGGCGTTGTTTGTTTATTCTTTACCCAAATTGACTTGGTACCTTCTGCATGCTAAAAACTATTCTAGTCACCGGACCTAAACCTAAACTAAATCCTTGCCCACATGGAAAGTACACTCTAGCAAGACACAACTAGTGAATAAAAATGCAAATAAATGCTGACACCAGCGAGTGCTTTGAGGGAAACTAAAAGTTGATGTGATTAGTGAGTAATGTGGGCAGGAGGTTGCTACTTACTGCCTTCTTTTAAAATTTAAATAAAGAATATAGATACACGGTTCAAAATTCAAAAGCTTTACTTTAAAACATTAAAAAGTTTAACTGACTTTTTTTTTTTTCGGTGTGTGTGAGATGGGAGGGGCTTAGGAGCATTCCCAAATATGAGGAGTCTGATATAAGTGGAGAATCAAGTCATTGTAGGCTACAGGGACAGGGGCCCAGCCCAGCTCAGGAAAGTGGCAAGTCCTCCCTGAGACCAGTCCTCTGTCACCAGTGGGGGGAAGAGCAGGAATGGGACAAAGACAAAGCCACATGGTAAGGGCCTGGAATGTGGGCACATTTATTGTTTTGCTTTTTGTCATTGTTCTATTGCAAGAATACCTTTTCCTTTTAAAAATTAAAAAGGATATAAATGTATAAGAGAAAGATTCAAAGTCCTCAATGACCACATCCCTTAGGAACAACCAGTTTTAATTGCTTTGTATATAATTTAAACAGGATTTTTTTCTATAGTGATAAAATTTGAATATACACACATTCATGTATATATCTGGTACATTATGTGAGGTAAGGTTCCAGCCACCTATTGCTAAGTCATATATAGAATTACTATTTTTTTCTTTATGTAATATGCAGACATACACAACACAAACATAAACCACTTTTCTTCATTTTGCTTTTTCACTGAATTAATCAGTGTTTGACAGGTGGATTTGCCTCACTGAAATAAAAGATACATGAGCTTGCATTTTGCTTCTGGATCATACTTTTTTTTTTAAAAAAAAATTTTTATTTGACAGAGTTATAGACAGTGAGAGAGAAAGACAAAGAGAAAGGTCTTCCTTCCATTGGTTCACTCCCCAAATGGCCACTAAGGCCAGCGCTGTGCCGATCCGAAGCCAGGAGCCAGGTGCTTCTTCCTGGTCTCCCATGAGGGTGCAGGGACCCAGGCACTTGGGCCATCCTCCACTGCCCTCCCGGGCCACAGCAGAGAGCTGGACTGGAAAAGGGGCAGCTGGGACTAGAACCGGCACCCATATGGGATGCCGACGCCATAGACGGAGGATTAACCAAGTGAGCCACGGTGCTGGCCTTGGATCATACTTTTAATTCATGCCCTCTGAGGCACATTTGGGTTGCATTTAATTTTCAGTGTTCTACAGGATACTGCAAAGAATACCCTTGATCTTGTTGCTTCTCTTAGTTGAGGGTATTTTGATTCAACATGTCACTTGTTCTTATTAAATGTACTAGTGCTGTTTTCACCAGGATCACTTCAGTGTAAATTTTATAATAAATACATGGCTTATTAATTGAATTTGAGGACTGTATGAAGTCTTAGAGATTGATCTTTTGGCATTATAAGCTTTCTTTGGGGGATATTTCCTCCAAATATAAGTTCCCTGGACAGTCTCAGCCATTTTCTTTGCTATACTGGCAAAGCTTTTCCATTAAACAAGAAAATGCAATTTTTTAAGTATTTCTAGCTCTTGCAAATTATCACATGTGCAGTTTTAACCTTCATCACTTGGAAAATGTGTTATTTCTACCAAGTTTAATTTTCCTTGGTATTGTGGACAAAATGGTCTTAGTAACAACATTGCAGTCAAAAATTTGGGCTCTCAAATAGCCTGACTTTCCTAACATACTTGGGCCTGTTTCTGGATTCACTAGTCAGTGACATTTGCCTTTCTGTGTCTTTGAACTTGAGCTATACATGTCGAGTATCCCTTCTCTAAAATGCTTGGGACTAGAAATGTCCAGGGTTTTGGAGTTTTTGAGATCTGGGAATATTTGCACAGACTTTAACAGTTAAGCACCTCTAATTGAAAATCTCAAATACAACATTTTGAAATATTTTCAGTGCCAAGCAAATTCAGACTTGGGTGGCAGGCTTTTGGAGCAATGTTTAAGACACTGCTTGGGATACCTGCATCCCATACTGGAGTACATGTTCTGCTTCCAATTCCAGCTTCCAGCAATGCACACCCTAGAAGGCAGTAGGTAGTGGCCCAAGTATTTGGGTCACTGCCACCTACCAGGGAAGCCTGGATTGAGTTTTGTCACCTGGCTTGGGTCTAGCCCAATCCCAGCTATTTCAGGCATTTGGGGAGCAAATAAGCAAATGGGAGATTTTTGTCTCTGGTCATTCTTTCTCTTTGCCTTTCAAATAAAATGAAAAAAATTATATTTAAAAATTTTCAGATTTTGGAGCATTTTGGATTTGATATTTTTTAGGGGGGCTTATAAATTGGTCTGTTAGGGCTTGTTCTGCATTAATTGTTTTCTTTTAGCTAAACTTTAAAATCATTTTGTCATATTCCAAAAATGGCCTTTTGAGGCTTTTCAGTGACATTGATGAGTTCAGTTTTTGATTGCAGGCAGGAGAAAGTAGATGCCCCAGTTAGAAGGCCACAAGGCAGGATGAATCCTCCCCTGTCCAGGGGCCCATCTGCCTTTTGTTCTGCTTAGCCCTTAAATTCGTTGGATGAAGCTTATCCGTACTAGGGATGCAGTATGTTTTGATCAGTCTGCCCATCTGAATGTTGTTATACAAAAACACCCTCTCAGATGTATACTGAATACTGACCAAATATCTGGGCACCCTATGGTCCAGTCAAGTTGACACAAAAAATTAACATCACAGCTGCACTATAGCTATGATAAGCTTACCTGGTGTTCTGTTGTTCAGGTTGCTCACCGTTAATTCTTTGTCTTTCTGCTTTCTCTCCACTCTCTGCATTCCTTTTTTCCATTCTTGCTTCTCCCTCCTTCTCATTTTTTTTCTTAATCTTATAAAGGTTTTCCAAGGACACTCCCACAGGCAGAAGCCCTGGACAGAGCTTATCAGATAGACACCGTGATTAACCTGAATGTGCCCTTTGAGGTCATTAAGCAACGCCTTACTGCTCGCTGGATTCACCCAGCCAGTGGCCGTGTCTACAACATTGAGTTCAACCCTCCCAAAACTGTGGTGAGTAGTTGTGGTGGAAGTACCACATAGCAGATTGTCCCCAAGTCATCCTGCCCTCTCAGACGTTAAATTTTGTGAACTTGGAAATCCTCTCTTGATTAAAACTCCTATTCTCAGGGTACTTGGGGTAGTTGATGATCTAGTTCACTCAGCCTGGTGGTAAAGGCATCCCAGGAGCAACAGGGGTTTGTTATTCATTCAAAAGCACTTACTGACTTCCCACTCCGTGCCAGGGAGTGTGTTAGGTGTTGGGGATGGTGTTTGGTGTGGGGAATCTCAACTGAGATTCCCAGGCTACAGCTGAATCTTGTGTGTGTGTGTGTGTGTGTGTGTGTGTGTGTATAATTACTGAGTTCCTGCTTAGAAAACCCTTTACGCTAAGCAGAAAGTGATTGATTTAAAAGTTGTCACAAGTTTGTGCCAGGTGCTTGCGTAGAGATAACTGTTTTAACATTACTGACCTGCTTTTAAGATCCTTCAGAAATGTGATGTTAAATGCCAGTCCTTCCTCACTCCTGTTTAGGGCATTGATGACCTGACCGGAGAGCCTCTCATTCAGCGTGAGGACGACAAGCCAGAGACGGTCATCAAGAGACTGAAGGCATACGAGGCTCAAACGGAGCCGGTCCTGGAATATTACCGGTGAGCTTTTGCTTTTCCTAACTTCTCTTGCATAGTGAAGCACTCAGTGAATCTTTGATTTTTCCTATACTTTCCAGTTGAAATGTTAATGCTAGACCCAAGACCCAATTTGAATTGGGTTAAGCAATAAGGGACATTCATTAGCTTGTATGGCAGAGAAGTCCAGAGGTGGCCTGGGCTTCAGTCACTCCTGGCTTTGATCAGAGCTGTGCTGTTCTCTTAGCTTTGTCCTCAGGCTTCCTGCGTGGCTGCAGACATTGCTATCAATAGCCAAGGCCTCCTCTCTCCTGAAGGGCTGAGGAGTAGGCTTTTCCCCAGTGAACAAAAACCCCAAGCATCATTCAGATTGAACCAATTGAACAGCCCTTGTCAGGGAATGCCTGGCACTACTGTAGGCCAGCTCACTCCCCATGTCGGCTGGCATTCTTGAGGAGCTTATATTCTGATATGGCTTTGTCTGCTCTTCAGGGAATCCACAGCACACAACAAATATGGGAGTCATACGACTTCAGGTTTGACTCAGGCTAAGAAACGGTCCTGTCTCCTTCCTTATTCAGCTCCTTCTTCCCCTTATCCTTCATTCCTTCACTTATGGAATCATGATCAGTGTCAAGGTGGTACAGCGTCGTCCTTACAGCCCAGACACTGAAGTTCAAGTCCCAGGTCCCCACTCAGTCAACATGGCTTTAACTTTTGCTTGACCTCTGCCTCTTTTCTCCTTTATAAAATTGAGATGAGAATAGAGGGCTGAAAGATTTGAGTTAATATGTATAACTTTTAGAATCCTGCCTAACACATCGTAAGCATTAGGTAAATATTAGTTGATATGGGTGTTACTGTTGTGATAGAAATAAGTATACAGTGAAACCTGAAGCAGCAGTCTCCAAGCTACTTAAGTAGTTATTTCTGGAGGGTGAAATTAGCAAAAGAGTTGGCATTTGATGTTTGACAGTAACTGTTACTATGATTTTATGATTTGTATAATGAGCCTGGCTCTGCCATCACCAGCTCTGTGGCCCTGGGCAACATATTAACCTATGTGCCACAAATTCCTTATTTATAAAATCAACCAATATTATAATAGTATCTGCTTTATAGGGCTGTTAAGGGAATTGAGAGAAGGCGGGGAAACACTTAGAACATCCCAGGCATCTCTTAAGTCACTCTGTCATTGTTATTTACTCTGTGTGACACTGTACTAGACCCTTGGTCTACCCAGACGTTTAGACCCAGTCTCCACCAGGCTCTAACTCACTTTCTGTACGTGCATGACACAACATTTACCATGCAGTGTGACGCGTGCTTATAGTAATTGGGAACTGAATTCGCCCTAGCTTAAGCAAAAGAGAAATCTCTTGGTCACCTCATGAAAATAAAAAGTCCAAAGGTCTGTGGCTGGGTCCAATGGTTGAAAAAGTACCATGAGGCCCCAGTCACTCTCAGCTCCATTCTCCGGTGCTGGCTTCAGCCTCAGGTGGGCTCTCGCTGTGGGACAGCCCCTCAGCACTCGGGCTTGGCACCTACCAGTGCAGCTGCCCCAGCCCACAGGAGAGCCTGGGGTTCACGCAGCTTAGTTCTTATCATGTCCACCTGGGAAGCTGGGGGTGCGGCCGTGGCCAGGGCGAGGGGCGGGGGAGAGACAGTCTCATGTGAACTGCATGGACTGAGGCGGGCAGAGAGCTTGCTCCCGGAAAGCAGCCAGGAGAATGCCTTCTGCTGAGCAGCAGGCATTGCTGCAAGGCTGTGAGGGGAGGCAGCACCCTGAGTGCAATGAAAGAACAGTGAGTGCCAGGATTAGTTCTGCCAACACACTGGAAGGGAAGTTGGGGAAGCTTTTGTTACCATGAATCCAAGCTTTTTCTTCCAAGCTCCCATATATACAGAATAAGGGCCGGACTGAACTAAGACTTGAAAATGGAATTTTCATGGTCTGTAGGACCAGTCCACACTGTTATTTTAAAATGCTGGCAGTCCTATTGTTGAAAACTTTTCTCAGCTGTGGGACATTAATAGAGAAATGGTCCAGGTTCACCAACAACATCATGTTCTTTCTCAGTTGTGAAGCTGATCCTGTAATATGACAGAGAAATTAAAATGTTCACCCAAGGCACAGTTTCAGGATTAAAGGGGCCTGCAGGAGCAGCACTGTGGCTCACTTGGTTAATCCTCTGCCTGTGGCGCCGGCATCTCATATGGGTGCCGGGTTTGAGTCCTGGCTGCTCCACTTCTGATCCAGTTCTCTGCTGTGGCCCGGGAGGGCAGTGGAAGATGGCCCAAGTGCTTGGGCCCTGCACCCGCATGGGAGACCAGGAAGAAGCACCTGGCTCCTGGCTTCGGATCGGCACAGCACCAGCCGTGGCGGCCATTTGGGGAGTGAACCAATGGAAGGAAGACCTTTCTCTCTGTCTCTCTCACTGTATTTAACTCTGTCAAAAGAAAAAAAAAATCAGCAAGCCATATTGGAATGCCAGTTTGAGTCCCAGCTATAAAAAAAGGGGGGCGGGGGCTGCAGGTGTGTAGCCAGCATTTAACCCGCGTGTGACCCTGCAGCCTGCCATTGGAGAGGCTCTTCGGGAGGCTTACAGCAGCTATGAAGCTGGTTCTCTTGACAGCTTTACTGGATGCCTGTGAGTTTAGAAGCAAGGCGGTGTCTGGCAGGCAAAGATGACTGTATTTGCATAATTTCCCTTCTTAGAGATGTTTCTCACCAAGAAAACGGCAGATATTCTTTAACTGTGGCAAATGTTAATCCAGGTAGTGAGACAGGAAAGCTTCTGTCCAGAGCGAAACCTCTGGAAGCTAGTGACACAGGCTGCAGAGGCATGGCTGATCCTGGTTTTAGGAATAAACCAGTACTTACAAAGTAGTAAAACCAGTGAGTACAATGACAGGAGCACACATGGGTGGGATGAGGGAGTTAGCAAGAGAAACGCCAGAACTCGGGAAGGAATCTGGGGGGTCTGAAAACCAACCCCAGCATTCTGATCTTCATTTTCACCATATTAGCCATAAGACCCCTGGATGCTGGCTTGGTGACAAGTCAGACAAATCTGCAGGGCAGAAATGGAGAAACCCAATGGGGGAAAACAATAAAACCAACACTTTCCATTGCTCTTTCTGTTAAAATCCAGAAGGGCGCCACTCAATGGAAAAAAAGATAAACCTATACAGAGAGGAAGGAGAGAGAACCAAGTATTAGCAACTCCTGGAGAAAAGAGTAAGGGAACAAAGTCGAGGAAAAGTTCTGATGTCTGACAGACTATTCGGAATCCTGCTTCCCATTGGTGATTTGGTCTGTTATTTTACAAGAGACAACTTTATCAGTAAAAGAAGATCTGAGCTAGACAAAGGATTAAGTGAACTATTGCATTAAAAAAGCCTTTCACACAGTGTTTAGCACATGCTCATACTCTGCACAGGACAGGCACCACTGGCATTTCTGCAAGCCAGAGGCACAACCAAAATGAAGATCTAGGTTTCACCGCCAGGCCCAGTGCCTTTCTCTCTTGATCATTTGCCGAGACTTCCAAACCCACTTTTATCCTCTTTGATATAAAAGCTTTGGAAAAGCTCATTAGGAAGACTCAGATCTGTGTTGTTTTTCATCTTTAGGAAAAAAGGGGTGTTGGAAACGTTCTCTGGAACAGAAACCAATAAGATCTGGCCCAACGTATATGCTTTCCTACAAACAAAGATTCCAGAAGCACACCAGAAGGACTCCGTCACTCCATGAGGAGAAACGCACATCACCAGGAAGAGAGCAGGAGCTGCTTGTGCTCACCTCCAGAAACCCCTCTGCCTAGGGCTCCAGCACGTGTGAATTCTTTGGAAATTGTGTCTTATGTCTACTAGTTTTTTCTGGGATACTACTAAGGATGTGCCAAATGATCAAATAGAAAAGAGTCATCTTTTATGACCCTCTAATATGTTTTATCCAGTTATCTTTTGTAGGTTATTCAAAAACAGCAGGATGGCTAATCTTTTGAAAACCTGGGGAAAGCAAAAATGCAAAAGTCATTGATAGCAATCATTCTGTTTGATAAAGACAAGTATTTGATAAGATTTTCAGTTTTCTGGAAAAGTTTAAACATTTCTGGCACCGTGGGACATGGTTTTGTGAGACATTCTATTAAATTATAGAAAAAAAAAAGCAACTGGAACTACAGATCTTCTGCAAGATGCAAATTCACTGATGCCTTTACACTAAGAAACTTACAAGTTAGCCACATATGCTGTATCTATGTTGTTGGTAAGGATACCTTCTGTTTACTCAGAATTTCCAGTTTGCCATAAGTATCTGTCATCATAAGGGAAGATAGTACTTTAATATGATGCTTTCTTTTGAAAATATATGTGTCTTGAGGCATGATTTATGTCAGAAATTTGACATTATCAGTTCTTGGATAAGCACCAAAGTTGAACCAGTTTTCAATGGAAAATGTAATAAAGTTTTACGTTTTCAACTATTACTCAGGTTAAGAAATTTTTTAAAGAAATCGATGCCCTTTCTCTTTTTGACCCAAATGTGTGATCTGCCTTGGTAAGTAACAAGTTACAGTAAAAAACAAGAAGAAGAAACCCATGTTGCTACATAAAGTAGGGGTACTTTATCCTCTGGAAATAGATTAGACATGCTCAGGGTATGTTCTCTTGACCCAAGTAGCCTTCATAATTAGTAAGCAGGCACAGCCATAAAACGAATTACATGATATGTTAAAAAGGACCAGGAAAATAACAGTATTCCTGATAGAAGAAATCTGGCATTCACAGCCATCATATTTTAAGAGCGGAAAAAAATCTCTGCTGATGTCATCTGAGCAGCCACTGTGACATCTTCATCATTTTAGGCTCCTCACTGGGGCAACAAGGATGCACATGTGTGGACTGTGGCCTGGGAAAAGAAATGGATAGTACAAGGAAAGTGGAGGAAAACCCAATCATATCTTCCATGGGATACTCTGTATTTGACTTGGTGCTAAATGAAATGAAACAAGCCTTAGTACAAACTGGCATTAACTGCCTTTGCAAATCTGGTCCACTGTATTCTACACATTTAAAATGTAAATGTCCGCAAATGGTTCTTACATTTTGTAGGGGGGAAATCTTACTTTCCTTTTCTTATGTTTTTTTTTTTTTTAAATTCACTGTTGATTTTTCCAAAAGGACCAAGGCTTTTAAAAAGGATTATAACAAATATCATTCTTTATAATACTTTCTATAGTGCCTTATTTGAATGTTACAATTATGTGCTTTCTAAAAATATTGTTTAACTATTATGTTTATGAATATCACTAGGTTATCAGGCATACATTATTCTCTATTAGAATAAATGAAATATCAGCACTGTGGCTCTTACTTTGGACCCCTCACACAGCTTAGCTTATTTCACCCCACCTTCCTTTCTGCTGCTCTGATATCCTTGGTGTGGCTGTGTTTTAATAAATGTTCTTGAAACAGTACACAGGCTGGTTTCATCTCATGCAATATTTTTATCTCCTACTACAGGATTGTAACCATACTTGCCTTGACACCCTGAAGTGATCTGAAAATAAAGGAGAGGTAGCAGAACTTGGCTATGAAAATTAAGACTCTTTTACCCTGTGATCATTCCCTCCCCCTTCTCCAATACACTTAACCCAAAGATTTGCATATTCACCCATTATTTTGGGAAATGCCTGTAATATGTCTTTTTTTATTTATTAAAGCAAAGATAACCTGATTCTGCTGGATGAGTTGGGATTACAGTACTGATTACCATTGCCAAGGATGGCATCCTGCTAAAAAAATTTGTTGTACTGACTAGTACAATTTATGTGCCACATGTGGAGCTGAATGCCATAGCTAGAGGTTGCTATTCCCGGTCAGGGCGCCGGATTCTGTCCCGGTTGCTCCTCTTCCAGTCCAGCTCTCTGCTGTGGCCAGGGAGTGCAGTGGAGGATGGCCCAGGTGCTTGGGCCCTGCACCTGCATGGGAGACCAGGAGAAGCACCTGGCTCCTGGCTTGGGATCAGCGCAGTGCGCTGGCTGTAGAAGCCATTTGGGGAGTGAACCAATGGAAAAGGAAGACCTTTCTCTGTCTAACTCTGCCTGTCAAAAAAAAAAAAAAAAAAAAAAGCTAATGAGAACGGTGCCTCAGCTCATAGCCCTATTTTCTTGAGTAGCATAGTTAAGCACAGTGTGCTGTGGGAAATGCAAATTAGCAGAAATTTTATTTCTCTCTATTCTATTTGAAATAGTTCAAACAATGGCTCAAATTTCAAAACTCCAGCCCATGGCTACTTTCCCCAGTTATAATATTCCAGCAAAATATTGTGGAAGCTCATAATTTGTGACGAAATTACCCAATACTAACAACAAATCATCATTAATTAACTTCAGATTATATTAAATTGCTGAAATACATGGAACCAACAGCAAGAATACATTTGTACTTAAACACATCAGTTGTGTCTTCTCACTGACAGTTTTTATATTGTTACAATTAAATATTTTCATCTTATAAGTTATGGTTTGAAATTTTTTTAACAGTTAAAATAGTGCAGCTGTGCTTAAAGTTCTGTACCACCTTAAAGTCTGTACCACCTCCTGGCTTTGTTAATTTAACAAGTACATTTCCAAATGTCCAGGTGGCTGGACCTGTTTACACATCTTTACCCTTAGTATTTCTGTTGTAAATTACTTGAGCTCTGTGATAAGCCCTTTACTTAGGAGATCTTAAAGGGCAGGCCAGGGAACCTAGAATCTTTGAGTTACAAGTTTATGGTTAGTAATTTCCCTACAAGGTTTCTCATAAGTTGCTCTGTGAAACAAAACCAGCTTATTGAACTTGTCCTGAACTTTGCCTTTGGACTTCGTTTTGGCCTTGTTCCCAGATTTACTCACAGGGTCCTTCCTTCCTTCCATCTCTTCTTCCTCCCATCCTTCCTTCCTTTCAGATTTACGAGAAACAGCCTCACCAGTCCACTCAAAGGATGGACTCAGAAAATGCAACAAAAGCGACTTATTATTAATGATCCTGCAAGATCAGGTACCTGATGGCCCAGCACACTCAGGGTGGTTTACGGCAAGCTGTATGTTTCTGACCACACAGATCTCTCTTCGAGTTCCTCACCGACAGTACTACGGGGTTATAATCTTCCTGACATTTGCTTCAGCTGTTTTGGTTGCTAACCTCCTGTTTGCCTAAGAACTTCCAAGTGCATGTTAACCTAGCTGTTACGCTACCTAGCTACTTGTCTGCAAGCTGTTATGCTAGCTGTCTACTCAGCTAAATATCTTACTTTGAACATGAACCCAATGTTTTCTGAGTTATAAAGGGGAGGTGTTGGGGAAGAGGCAGTGATCCTCCATCTGCTGTCTCACTCCCCAAATGGCCACAACAGCCAGAGCTAAGCCAATCTGAAACCAGGAACCAGGAGCTTCTTCCAGGTCTCCCATGTGGGTGCAGGGGCCCAAGCACTTGGGCCAAATTCTGCTGGTTTACCAGATACATTAGCACGGAGCTGGACTGGAAGTGGAACAGCTGGTATTTGAACTGGTACCCATATGCAAAGCTGGCATTGCAAGAGGCAGTTTGACCCACCGTACCACCATGCCAGCCCCAGGGCCTTTTTCTTGGCTCTCTCGTCTTTCTTCTTGTCGTTTGTGGGCAGCATTGTAACCATCACAGCCTTGCTAAAGTGACAGATCAAAAAGACTTTTTTTTTTAAACTCACTGCTATCGTTTGGATGTTTAATGTACTCCTGAAAGGATCATGTACTTGATCCTCCTGTGCAAATGATGATGTGGAACTTTTTAAGAGGTGGGGCCTGGTGAGAGGTCCTCAGGTCAATTAGGGGCATGCCTTCAAAAAGTCTCCTCTTCTTTGCCTTCTGTTTCGCAATATAACCTCTTTCGTCTCACACTCCCCTAATAATGTGATGCAGCCAAAACAGCCATCACCAGCTTAACCAATGCAAGCACTAGGCCCTTGAACATACAAAAACCTCTTTTTCTTAGCCAGCCTCGAGTATTCTGTTGTAGTCAACACAAAACAGACTAACGTAACAATGATCATGAGTTTTTCTATATATACTACTAAGTAAACTGTCATGCCAAAGTGTAAACTTGGTTTGTGTTTTTTTTTTTTTTTTTTTGGACAGGCAGAGTGGACAGTGAGAGAGAGACAGAGAGAAAGGTCTTCCTTTGCCGTTGGTTCACCCCACAATGGCTGCTGTGGCCAGCGCACTGCGCTGATCTGAAGCCAGGAGCCAGGTGCTTCTCCTGGTCTCCCATGCGGGTGCATGTAAGAAAATCCACTAACTAAAAGATTCATGTTGTTAAAAATACATTAGTTGACTTTTAGAAGGGTAACAGGAATACTAATATGACAGAAGAAGAGGGCCTGGTTTTCTTAAAGAAGTTATAAGAAGTAGGAGGTCCTGAGCTCATTAGACAAAATTTGCAGGGCTGGCGCTGTGGTGCAGCAGGTTAAAGCCCCTGCCTGCAGTGTCGGCATCCCATATGGGCACCAGTTCTAGTCCCAGCTGCTCCACTTCTTTGCTATGGCCTGGGAAAGCAGTAGAGGATGGCCCAAGTCCTTGGGCCCCTGCACCCATGTGCGAGACCCGGATGAAGCTCCTGGCTCCTAGCTTTGGATCGTCGCAGCTCCAGCTGTGTGGTAAATTGGGGAGTGAACCAGCGGATGGAAAACCTCGCTCTCTCTTCTTTCTCTCTGCCTCTCCTCCTCTCTCTGTGTAACTCTTTTCAAATAAATAAATCTTTAAAAA